ATCTGCGCGTCCATGCTCACGCGAGCGCTGACGCCAAACAAGGCCAAGCTCGATGGTGTTGGAGTCATCAAGCCCCATGTGTGGAAGACCCGCGTCGGTCTGCTGGACATGGACCTGAATGTGCACTTGAACAACGCGTCATACCTCTACAACATGGAACTCGCGCGGTGGCACTTGTCTGGGTACACCCTCCTCGTCATGCATGGTTCTCGTGCTAAACGACGTTCTTGCTGTCTCGGTAGGCTGAATGGAATGCTCCATCATTGCTTTTCGAAGCGGTGGATGCTCCTCGTCGGGTCGCAGAGTATTCGATATCGCCATTCGATTGCACCGTTCCAGGCGTACGAAATCCACTCGGACATTGTGCATTGGGACGACCAGTGGTTTTACTTTATACATCGGTTTGTGTGCCCGACAACGGGAAAGCTCTTTGCCGAAGGTTAGTGTCCACCGTCGCGCGGATGGCCATCCAGTAACGGACGTAGGGCTCACTCGAGGCATGGTCAAGGACTCGAACCGGCAAACCATCAAGTTCATAGACGTGACGAAACAATTGGGACTCGGCACACCAGCCTCCAAGCCCATGCCTGACGTCGTAAAGACATTTTTGGAATGGGACGCCGCCACCAAGGCCAGCACGGCAGCGTGGAATCCCGCTGACCACATCGATGATAAACGCCCCAAGTTTCTTCAAGGCGTCAACTTCATCAAGTAGTCACCCGAGCCATCGCATTTTGTACAAGTTACGAGGCTAATCTTTTCGTATTTCATCGCGTGCAGAAGTTCACCGGTCGAAGCAACATGGACAAGGCGATCGACATATGTAGACTTTGAGTGGCCTAGCAGGCTGTGGTGATGGACAACAACGCTTTCGCTTGGAGATCGGTCAGGCCATCGGTGTAGAGCGCATGCAGCTTGTGGTAGTGAGGGGGCCAACTTGCGATCCCTGGATGCCAAGCTACCCCTCTTCAAGTAATTCAACAAGCTCCGGCCCTTGGATAAAAACCACAACAAGGCGACGGAGCTACCGATCGAGTTAGGCCGGGCTCTCGCGCTGCGTTGCTCTCGACATGTTTAACAACTCGCTCGGGGCATCGCACCACGAGCATCCAGAAGTGCTCCTGCCATCGTAGAAGAGACTAGGCATCACGATGGTCGATCTCACAGCCTAAGAGCCACGGATCCTCGCTGCACTTTCAAAGCTTCGTATGTTAAATGCCGCTGTCTTGGTCGCCGACGCTGCCCGAACAACAACTCTACTGTACTGTGTGTGACCCGTCCTCAAAGTGCATTCCGAGGAGCTAATTGGCTGAAACGTGGTCCCGTGAGAAAACCACAGTGTCACTACTCTTTGAGGTCAACAGCCATCTCCAACAGTCGAGTGGTCATGATAATGCTTACCCTTCAGGCTGTGATGTTAAAGGTGCTTGAACACCGTGGTGACAACAACTTTAAGCTTCCTCATCTACAAAAGGGTGCGTTAAGACGTGCTGACAGACTCATGGTGAATCTGTCCTGCCCAGTGTCACTACTCTTTGAGGTCAACAGCCATCTCCAACAGTCGAGTGGTCATGATAATTTTGTCCAATAATATACATTCATTTTCTTTTCATCCAATCATATTAATATGGTGGCAGTAATAGCAAACAACAATGATTTTGTTATGGTGGCAGTAATAGAGAGTTTTAGCAAGTCTAATTTCCTCACACTTCAGACTTGAACTTCGTTTCGAATTTCGAAGACTGCAGACTTCACTCGAAATCTAGTCTGCAAATTGATTGACGATGGGCAAGGCCATGCACAAGCAGCTTGCTTGGAGTGCGGACATGGACCTTGCCTTGCTTCGTGAAGTCGTTCGAGTGGAGCCCTACGACGGCGAGTACGGCACGCTCACCGTGCGGTGGAAGACCATCGCATCAAGTCTGTCGACGCTCTTCGAATGCGACATCCCGTACCGTTCGGCGCGCGACCATTTCGAGTCGATGGTTGAGAGGTTCAAGTCGACGGACAAGGCGCAGCGATTATGGGGCACGGGCAGCGAGGAGGAGGTCACTGAGCTCGTGCAGCTGCTGCAGGACCTCGTCGACAGACAAGCGGCGTCCGATGAGGCCAAGAAGTCAAAGAAGGAGAAGGAGCAGC